CACAGTATTCCAAGGAGCCAGGAGTTACATGCGACAAGACTCCACTTACTACTCTAATGGAAGCCATTAATGGGAGGGGAAACTTCACCCCTGTAGGGCAGCAAGGACCTCAGCTACTGCAGAAAGGCTGAGTTACCAATGTTATTTTTCACGTTTGTGAGCACAGTGCCTCCTAGATAATCACGTGGGGATTTGAGATTGTTAGAAGTTGATTTTGCTGCTACCCAAGCAAACAAAAAGACTTGTTGTTTTTTTTTAAAGTATTTAAAAGCATCAGATGAAATAAAAATCAGAATGAACTGAAATAAAAATTAGAATTCTGAATGCTATCATAGAAATGAGAAAGGGTGTCCTTTTGCTAAATGAGATATATTAAAAGCAAAGGAAGGGAAGTGGGTTCAAAAAACAAAGAAGAAATGTTAAGAATCCAGTTAATTATAAGGTTAAGTGGCATCTTTTTTTCTCTTTCTTGGCAAAGTACCGAGCTAATATTTTCTTGATTGTGTTTGACTCTCTCCATCTCTGGAGTGACAGGTAAAGGGATTCCCTTGCCCAAGTTTTCTTTGTATAACACCTGTGTAATGAGAAAGCATCCAGAAAAACAACCGTAAATAACATTTCATTTGTTGTAAAGTTTTAGTGTGAGTTCAACTTCCTTGTTACAAAATGGCACAGTATTCCAAGGAGCCAGGAGTTACATGCGACAAGACTCCACATACTACTCTAATGGAAGCCATTATTGGGAGGGGAAACTTCACCGCTGTAGGGCAGCAAGGACCTCAGCTACTGCAGAAAGGCTGAGTTACCGATGTTATTTTTTTCACGTTTGTGAGCACAGTGCCTCCTAGATAATCACGTGGGGATTTGAGATTATTAGAAGTTGATTTTGCTGCTACCCAAGCAAACAAAAAGACTTGTTATTTCTTAAAGTGTTTAAAAGTGTCAGATGAAATAAAAATCAGAATGAACTGAAATAAAAATTAGAATTCCGAGTGCTATCATAGAAATGAGAAAGGGTGTCCTTTTGCTAAATGAGATATATTAAAAGCACAGAAAAGGAAGTGGGTTCAAAAAAAGAAGAAGAAGAAGAAATGCTAAGAATCGAGTTAATTATGAGGTTAAGTGGCATCTTTTTTTTTTCCTTTCTTGCCAAAGTACCGAGCTAATATTTTCTTGATTGTGTTTGACTCTCTCCATCTCTGGAGTGACAGGTAAAGGGGTTCCCTTGCCCAAGTTT